ACAGTGAAAAAATGTGGGACACCATGTCTATTAATGTCTCCTGTTAACTACTAATGCTTTTAGTAACAGAGACACAATTTGGAGCAGAATCCTTTAATTTGTTTACAATTGATAAAGGTTTAAAATTTCAAATTTAGTGGGACACCATGTGATGCATCTGTGACGCATTTTTTAAGGCTACATATAAGTAATACCAAGTAAATATAAAATAAAAAGATATAGATAATGCAATAACATTATATTGTTAACCTATTTCAACAAAAATGTCTGTTCAATAATTCTTGCTTTTAGTAGAATATTACTTCAACCTAAGCCAGGTGTTCCGTGTTACATCAAAAGATGCTATTTTGTGCACTATTTCACACATTTTCTACAATTTTAAAATTCCACTATGCACCTTTTAAGCTCAAATATCACAATTTATACATAAACCATTTCTAAGTGCAATGAAAAAAAAAATTGTGACATTTAAATAAGAAGTTTTTGAGTTATAGACTTTTTGGTGAACCAATAACTATTTGTCACCAGTGCTGGAGAAACACTCATATGTTTTATCGTACATTTATTTATTGCACAGTTGATTTAATTCTTTTCCCCTGTTTGTCTTAATTTTTTTTTTTTTTTTTTTTTGTAAAGCAGTATTTCAGAACAGTACTTTAGTACTTTAAAAAAGATTTCTTAGTTAAAGACAGAAAGCTCTAAAGTGACCAATTATTTATTATATGAATTATTTCAATACTAAGTTTATGCATAAAAATACAATCACTTTTAAACTTTTTTAATCTTTGCTCAAACATTGAGTGCTTTTTAGAAATGAATAGTAATGTATCCAGAGAACAAAACCTCCCGTTTCTTTTTTTTTTTTTTTTACTTGGACAGCGCCCTCATTAAAAACATTTCTGGAGATTGTTGTATTGTAAACTTTGTCTGTTCATTTTTATGTGTTTTTGTTTGTTTCATGTTTTTAGAAATGAATGTCAACACTTCCAGTAATTCTAATAGTGATAAGTTAGCTGAGAAACTAGCTGAGAAACTTGGTGCTGCAGGGGGTTCAGAAATAGAGACTGCCAGTCCAACAGTGGCCTCAGCTAAAGCCTCTTCAAGCGAATCTAGGGACGAAGAGGCTGGATCTGCTGAAGGTTAGTTTTCTTTTTTTGACTTATCAGCTCATTTATTTTTTTTTGTTTTTTTTTTTAAATAAATGTTCCTGTCTTTTTTAGTCATTGCCACTTGATGCCTGAGCTATATGGAACTAAAATAAGACTTTGAGAAAGACATTATTTAAATAAAACTCATATAACAAAGCACAGGCAACACAGGGTTAAGATGACAATTCCATTGCAAAATTGTTAAGTTTGCATTATGGTTTCATTTATGTATTTAAACTTTGTTTTTTTTTTTGTCAGTCTGTATTAATTTAATAAAAATTATTTTTTTTTGCTGTTCACCATGCCTAATAAGAAAGACTTAAATTTTTATAGGTGATAGTGCCAGTGAAGGAGACAAAGGGAAAAAGCCCAAGAGAAACAGGTGCATGGAATGTAGAAAAAAAGTTGGACTCACTGGTAAGCTGCCTGGTATAATTTTTTAATTATTTAAATAATTTTTTAAAATATGATGCAATTTTATAGATTTTAATTACCTTAAAGCCTTAATTTCTTACATTTTGATCAATAGACCTTTTTTTTTGTTAAAACTAATCTTGAAATTATTTTGTGTCCTTGGATTCTACACGCTTCTTATAGAAAATATTTTAAAGCACAGACACCCATGTATATAATCTCAAGCATAATTACAAAAATATTCCATGTTATGTTTTATGTTAACTGCTAAGTGTGACATGCAGGTGTTCTATAGAATGCCTGGCATTTTTAGGCAAAGTACAAAATGATTTTCCATTTCCTACTTAGCCTAGGCATTCTATAGCATGACTAGTTGTTCATCAGGCAAACTAAAAATGTCTTGATTGGAAAGTTATTTATAAATTAAGCATAAATGACTATAAATAAACAACAGGATTTCTTAAGATTAAAAATACATTTGTAGGTCTTTACCCTATAAGTGCTACATCAACTTTTAAATAATCAAATAACTCTTGAAACTAATGAATAGTAAAATACATTAATAAATATATACTTGTTTTATAGTTTTTCTAAAAAGACTAAAATGAGATGTTTAAAGATGCTGAAACATTAAGCAGGTAAAATTATCTACATGTAACAGCAAAAAAGAATCAAAGTAATTCATAAATCTCTATAAAACTGTACACTGTATAAACTGCATATTGTTAATTTCTTTTTAAATAGAAATATAAAATCAATATAATATCTCCATCAGTTGTCTTAACTTGTATTATGAATGTGTTATACAAACATATCGGTCAATAAAGCCAAGAAAACAGAAAACTACCACATGTTCTGTTTGTACATGTTTTTATTACAGTCCCCAACTTTTTTTTCTTATAATGTATCTTATGTTGAGAAAAAACGCAAACACTTAAGGCTTACAAAATAAAATATGCAACTCCATGTCAGATATTTTCTTCTCAAAGTATTAAGTTGGGAAAAAAGCTTTCTATTGGGTAATTTTATTCTATTTAATTTTTCTCTAGATTGGACTTTTAGACAATTAGATCAACCTGATAACAAGAATTTAAATGAAAAAACACCTTATTATAACATCTATTTGTTGTTTTTTTTTCCCGCTGAATTATTAAACTCAATTTTAAGATAAGTGTAATCAGGTATAAGTTGTTTTTTTTCAATGTCAAAATATGTGTCAACATCTCAGACAAAAAATAATTGCACTGATGCCTTGATTAATGATAAATCGTTTGTTTTTCACGATCATCACAACGAAACATTTAATCAGCTTTGAAATCAACATGTAGTCAAGCGGCTCCTACTTAGTAGTTGTATTTCCCTTGATTAGGCATATTTTCTTTCACCGTCCATACAACACAATATGAAACATCATATGTATAAATTTTTCCTTGAACAATGCAGTTGCACATAGCATGTAGACTAAGACAGTCGTAATTAAACAAATTCCATACTTTAAACAACAGGACCAAATTATTTATAGTACTGGCAAATAGAAATATCATTCTGAGAAATGTATATTATTAATAAACAAATGTAAAAAATCATTTCACACATTGCCTAAAGCAGTTCTAGTCATTCTATAGAATGCCTAGGCATTCATTTGGCTAGCAAGAATCAGACATACCCTTTTGTGTTAAAAATCTTAATGAATTACATGTTATGATCATTATAGTCTTAAATGTCTTCTGATATTAAAATTTCAGATTTAGAAGAAAAAAAAGCAAAAGTATTGATTTTATCTTAACTCCATTAATTTCAGGTTTTGTCTGCCATTGTGGAAAATTGTTCTGCAGTTTACATCGCTACTCTGATACACATGATTGTACATTTGATTTTAAGGAGAAAGGACAGGAGGAAATTCGAAAGAATAACCCAGTCATTAAGGGTGAGAAGATACAAAAGATATGAAGTAGGTTGTCTCTTTCTGGTACCCCCCGTCCCCTTCCCTTTTTTGTCAAAGCAGGGCATTTCATGCTGCCCCATAGTGGACTTGTTGAATCAGCCCTTGCCTAGGAAATCATCCTTCCGAGGAGTGAACTAATTTTTTTTTTGTTCGGATTGGATGATTACATGATACTGTATTATAATTATATATATACATGGAATCTTTTTCCTTCGGATTTTAATCTTGTGCGTTAAAATTATGTCGTATGTGGTGAATTGGGTATAAACTAGTGAAAACCTCCTTTATGTTAGTATGCGTGTATGTTCATTATTTGTACAGATTTATTTGATGTGTATGATTATAGTGTGCCCCTAGTATTCATTTGGTAAATTATTTTACATCTATCCTTTTTAGTCATTTTAATTGTGGTCTTGCTACCAGCCTAAGACTAATTCTTTTGAAACATGTAGTTTTAAAATTTTCTTTTTTTTTTTTCTCTGGGCTTTTTATTGAACATGGTAATTTTTTTTTCCTGCAATTAAACAAAATTATTTGGCTTAGTTTTTTCCATTTTTTGTGGTTAAATGTACGGCATGGTGGTGAAATGTCATATATTTGGAATCTGTGATAGTACTGAAATGACTGCAGTGTGTGTGTGTGGTATCTTTAACTGGGCTGGCAGATAGCTGTCCTAAGTGTGGTACAAAGAAGTGCATATTATGGATATTTCCAAAAGAAATGTTTGTGTGTGTGGGTTGAAGGTGCTGGTAATTGATTATAGTGCAGATGGTGCCATTAATAACTAGGTCATGATTCTGTGATCACATCTGCGGCACTGTGTGGTTCAATAGCATGAAGATTGTGTCTGAGGGTGTTTGCTGTGCAGGTGTGGAAAACAAAGCAAATAATAATGAAATTATTTATGATGTTATGTTTTAAATGAGAATTGTAAAATAAAAAAAATTAAATAAAAGGTAGTTAAGATAATTAACCCCCTTTTTAACTGTATTCAAATTGTATATTTTATTCATTGATAAAACACTAAACTATTCTTTCATCATTGTTTAGTCTCTCCATGTTCTTTTTTTTTTTTTAGTGACAATTTTGTTGTGTCTATTAATAATAGTTGTAATTTAGAGGCGTGGACTAATTCAAGAACATTCATTTGTTTGGGATTGCATATATATATATTATACTTTAATTTGTAATCAGATGACAGCCTTTGTTGGTTTTTCTCCCGGTAACCCCAGATTCAAAACATGTCACCGAAACATCTTAATAACTTTATAGTATTTCTTTCCTTCAACACATTTCAAATTCTTAGGTAAAAAGGAATAGATTTCTGCAACTTATCATTACAGAAATTAATATGATCTTGACAAAGTATGCTTCTGTCTTCAAATATACTTTATAGTGAAACAACTTTTTCTTTACTTTCCAATAAAGAACAGCTAATTGCATTATAATGTGAGGATAATCCACTAAATTGTGGAAGGGAAAAAAATGGTTACAAAAAGTTTTTCCAAGCAGCAGAAAGCTCTATAAATTTGATGAAAGAGAAACAATTTTGGCCAAATCTTGTGTTGAACACTATTTTCATAATTTGAGAAAAGTTTACATTTTAAAAAGTTATTCCTCTCTTCAATTTGCAATCACTTTTAAGAAAGAGTTGTAACAAGTCAGTGAAGTTTTCAGAAAGTAATAGATGACATTATGATTAGTTACACACATGGGTTATCTTCACATCAAGAACATGTTTGCACTTAAGCCAAGTTTCAGTATTTCATGCACATTATATCTGCTATGAATAATATTGTCATGTTTTTTTTTTCTTCAAATACACGAGATTACTTTTTGAAAATAACAAATTCAGGTTGGTTTTAAGATTTGCTTTTTTTAACTAGGATTTGAAAGATTTTTTTAGTATTTTAATTTTAGATTGTTTTTTTTTTTAAATGCTTTTGTAAAAGAAAGAAAAAATAGTTTTTATTTGGGTAGTTGCATTACTAGAAGACAAGAAACCAGCAAAAATTCTAATATAATCAACAACTGTTAGCTAGCTTCTTGTTTTTACAGTGTCTTTGTAGCGTCTGTGACTACTACTTTTATCTTATTAAATGGGTGAATTTAGGGTTTGCTTAGCATGTGTTGGTCTTGTCTTTCATGTCTTGGTCACTGTGTCTGTCCTATTTTAGTTTCTTTTTGCATTTTTCATGTTGATAATTATTATTACTATTCTATTATGCTGATGATGTGAAATTTAAAAAAAATAAATATTCTGATGCAATTAAAGTGGCATTTTTAAATTTGTTTTATTAATTCCATCAGGTATCCTTGAAATGTACTTACTTTTGGTAGTTTATTTATTTCTCCAAGTTAATGTCTTAAGTCCCTCTCAACATTTTAAGGTCATCAATAAATTGCAATTAAAGTAATGAAGTTATTAGATGGCCAATTTGTTGGCCTCAGTGTAATCTGCCTCTTGGCAAATTACATCTAGACACCTCTTGCTGGATCTATTTCTAGGAATGAAAGTAATTATTTAAAGTAAAGTGAAAATATAAATAAACTTGTTGAAAAAAAATCTCAGCTACTAAAGATAGTGCACAATATTTGTATTCCTGTTATAAATAGCTACCATTTGGTGTATGTGGGAAATTGGTGATAGGCTATATTGATCTAACATAATATAATCATTTTTAGCACTGCAAATCAAATTTTCTACGCTCTTTGTAGCTTTTTTTAAAATTTTATTTAGTTTGCGCCATTAAAGTTTAATGTCTTTGACATTGTTTAGTTTATCCTGGAAATTCCTAATACTTTTTTTTTCAATATCTCCATACCACTCCGTATAAAGTTTTGGACAGGAGGGGCTCGTTAGTCATTGCTGGCTACCCATCTAGGAGAAAGAAAACTTTGAATTAAAATCTCTGCTGCCTTGCAGCAATGCCCAAAACTGGGAAAGGCTTCAGGAATCAACCCTGACGAAAAAATCGGAGCCAGTGAACCTTAGGCAGTTTGCTGCACTCAGTGTTACAACCTGCAGAGCTTGCGACGCCGCTAACCCAGAAACAGTATCGGCACTTACGTTGCTTTAGATCAGTGATTCCCAAAGTGGTCTATATAGACCCCCAGGGGTCTACGAGGATTTCCAAGGGGGTCTACGAAAGTTAAAATGGGAATTGGGGGTCTATGAGATGTGCGCGGGGGTCTACGATAAAGAATCTCAATTTTGACAATTGGAATTTTTTTCACACACACATTTATCATGATTTGTACCCGGTACCTTAGGAAATCCTTAAAATTTTTATCCTGCTGATTAAATGAAAAATTGTTTTATTTAATTTAATAACTATATTTAAATAGTGTAGTTTTGTCTAGTTATAACTTTAACAAAAAGAAATGTAGACTGTACAGAGTTAAGTATTTGAAATTAAACTTCATTACTTCCTTGTCAAACAAGCGAGTGTTAATGTGCCATTTTTTTTATGATGCCATGAAACCAATTAAGCTGAAGGATCATTTGAGATGATGCCACCCTGATGAAAAGATAAAATGTTTGCAAAACTTTCAAACTCAAAGATAAAGTTCATAAAACACCCACAAAATCTTTCTTTGACCTGACAGTCAGAAGATGGTGATTTGTGAGCGTTTTAATATATCTCTTTACTTATATTAAAATACTGAAAACCTCACACGATAGGCAAATTATTGATTTTACCAGCCGTTAAAGAAATAGTAACAACTCTTACACAAACTTGTATCATTAAAAGAATTTCATGTTTGAGTTTTATGGCCGGTGTCTTGTTTTGGGCCTCTTGTTGAAGAATGCAATTTTGAAGACATGGTCAGCATTCTCTGGTGACACTCCAAAAGGGTAGAGTGCGATGTTTAAATGTGTCTTTGTTTTCTCACATTTTGCAAATGTGTCAGTCTTCTATTTCCTTCTACGTCAACATTGGAGAGCAGTGTTCTTGCTGTTGTTGAGCTTTACAAGGTCGCACAATATGTTTTGTACAAAATCTTTTGGATGTTCCTTCAGATTATGTGTATAATTACATCCCAGCCCAAACCTCCCTACGGGAGATGCGAGCAGGCAAGGTGACAACCGAACGTCAGTCCAGGCATCTTGAGTTGTTGTGTTTATGAGGTATCAGAGTTTGTCAAGCTTTGAAAGACTATTTTTATGTTGGTCACGATTTTTTTTTACTGTTTTGCGAACTTGGCTGATTCGCTAGCATGATAGATGTTAGCTCCAGTGCTCCCATTTCTTCTCTGTGGTTGTCATAGAGCTCAATAGTTACAATGAACATTATTTTTTAATTGATTTTTTTCTCCATTGGGCCATTCAATTAGTATTCCAGATTTTCCTTTTGTTGTGGCTTTCTGAGAACCATCCATGCAAACTCTGATCCATTGGTTGTTAGGGCAATGGATTTGTAGAAGAGTTTACTAAATTCTTGAACTCTGTTGGAATATAGTCAAATATTTCTTTCTTCTTAAGTAAGTCTTTGCAAACGGCATATTTCTGCAAATAGCATATTTCTCTATACAGCTGGCTGAGTCAACCTTGTCTGGTAATGATGTATTTTTTTATTCAAATTATTATGGCTCAATAAATCCTCGAAAAACTGCTTTTTGTGAAAACTTTTACTATGATACTTAAGGCACATTAATATTTAATGTTTTGAAGAACTACTTCATATAACAACAAATCCCTATATGAAAAATAATCTCCGTAGTAACGGATGGTTAGCTTGCAAACTTTTAAAAACAAAAAAAGTTTCCAATGTGTTTAGTGATTGTATGCTATACGTATTAACGGTTATAAAATGGGTTTAAATTTGAATTTTGTTAAAAAAATTAATTCAACATAAAATGTAGGTTTAAATAACTTTTTCACTCCTCGTGTCACTGGTTAAAAATTATTTGAAACAAAATTCGTAATTTGAAATTTATGAATTTTCACAAATTCAATATACTTAAGCAGGGGGTCTACGGAAAACCAGAACACATGACAAGGGGTCTACGAGACAAAAAAGTTTGGGAACCACTGCTTTAGATACATCAGCTGCTTGGAAAAGGGAAAACTGATATGTGGCGACATCCTTCAGACCACAGCTAATGCCCAGGCATTCATCTCATTTCCATGAGATAATACATAGACGCTTCGCGACGGAAGGAGTTCGCATGTACCACTCCGTACCAGGAAAAATAAATGATTTTTTAAAAGGTTTATTTAGTATTGATTCAATACAATTTTATTTTTAAAAGACTTCTCTTCACCACTTTGCACAAGAAGGCCACATTAGATTTCCAAGGACGAGGTGTAACTGTAAAGGGAAGTCAGCATGATTCTTCCTGTCACTATTTTTTCCCTTGATTTGTTTTATTACAATTACTGCCCTTAGCATTTCGTCTCCTTTTGATCAACCGCTAAACTAATTAGAATAGATTCAATGGACGAATACATCGATAATTTCTATAGATAAATACACCATCTTGAACTGTTTGATTAAACAAAAAATTCATATGTAAAAATGGTGGGATCTAATTCTAGCGCCATAGCCTAACCGTTGAGCAATAGCAAGATCTTTTTCGGAGAGCAGTTATTTTGAAATGAAATGGGCTTGTTGTCAATGTTCGAGTAATTTAGCAACAATATCGGTAACTCAAGAATAAATAGCTGTTGGCTAAATTGTCGAGAATAGTTGTCAAAAAAATTGCATTCTGAGATAATCTTTTTTTGTTGTTGTTGATGCAGGGGCTATGCAGATCTCCAGTGCTTTCATCTTCTTAACGCCCCTACTTTTTTTTTCCCCCAAATAAAAAAGAATTGAACCCAAATAGAAAGAAAATATGCGGTAATATTTTTACTTAGATCTAAGGCTGTTTTATGGATCTCTTTCGGAAATGTTATGAACACACACATATTAATGGACGTGGTTGTTGTTGTTTTGTTGTTGTTGTTTTTTTACAAAAGAAGAACAGTTACAATTTGATATAAATAATATAGCGTTGTTTTTTAGTTAAAAGTTGTAAAAATCGTTGGTGTCGCAAATGCGACTTATGTTATTAGTGAAACGAATGAATACAGTCAATGGGCGGACTGGCTATATGGGCATTTGGTCATGTAATAGCCTCCATCCGCTACTAGTAGACCTCATCCTACACAGCGATTATAAGACCACATAAGGCCTATATTTCTTATAAAGATGTAGAACAGGTGTACAGTTAACGATACAATATTAACTTCCCGTAATGATTTTGAGGACGGGTAGACATAGAATTGGATGCCCAACATGATATACAATTTGTGGGCAGGATTGTATTGGAATGCCTGGGCCGATTTTGACACCCAGTCCTCCCCTACAGGCAAACGTCTGGTACGGTCAAAGGTGTGACTCGACTGGAGCTCGAGGCTATAAGAACTAGCGATTTTACTCAGGTATACACCTATGTCAACATTGTCCTCTTGATGAAAGGATTTCGGTACGTACTTTGTATTTTTGGTGCCTGTTTCTTTGTTTGTGTGCATAGTTTTTTTTTTTCAATTTGTCTGCACGAACGTTTATTGTTGATTGATAGAATCTTTTCCCGCCTTGTTCCATCTCCATGGAAGGTCCAGTTTTGTGTGTCCTGAAACTTTTTGGTTCTTTGAGCTGTAGCGTTCCAGGAGCAGGACGCGGTTTTTCCTGTTTAGTCCCGTTTAAGCGGTTCAGACATCTCTTGGGTGCTAAATATCTAGGATGGTGTTTGCAAGAATAATAATAATAATCTTTATTATCCATAAAAAAATTTGTCTTAACAATTTGTGCATTACACCAAACAAAACATTATAAGTATAGAAAACCAAAATATACATTCACACCAGACTCACTCATAGCCAGAAAAACCAGTGACTTGGTAGAATTTAAGTCATTGGTTAATATGCATGACTAAATGCATGACGCGTAGGACGTAATCATCTTCTTTTTTGAAGTAACGTCTGTATTATATAAGATAAGATTGTTGAATTTTATTTAATGATTTGATTGCCAGGGAGACAAAAGAGTTATA